CCACCTGAGCCTCTCGAATAGCTAGGATGACAGGTGCACAACACCCAGCTAATTTTTTCTTTATCCTTTTTTTTTAGAGATAAGATCTTGCGGGCCAGGCACAGGGGCTCACACCTGTAATCCTAGCACTTTGGGAGGCCAAGGCGGGCAGATCACTTGAGGTCTGGCGTACGAGACCAGCCTGGCCAACATGGTGAAACCCCATCTCTACTAGAAATACAAAAATTTGCTGAGCATAGTGGCAAACACCTGTAGTTCCAGCTACTCGGGAGGTTGAGGCAGGAGAATCACTTGAACCTGGGAGGCAGAGATTGCAGTGAGCCAAGATCGTGCCACTGCACTCCAGCCTGGGTGACAGAGTGAGATTCTGTACAACCCCCCCAAAAAAAGAAAAAAAACTCACTATGTTGCCCAGGCTGGTCTCAAACTATCCTACCACCTCGGCCTCTTGAAGTACTGGGATTACAGGTGTGAGCCACCACTCCCCAGCCCAGCTTATTTTAAAAAAATTTTGTAGAGACGGGTCTTGCTATGTTGTCCAGGCTAATTGAATTTTTTTTTTGGTTTGAGACGGAGTCTCACTCTGTTGCCCAAGCTAGAATACAGTGACGTGATCTCTGCTCACGGCAAGCTCCGCCTCCCGGGTTCTTGCCATTCTCCTGCCCCAGCCTCCCAAGTAGCTGGGCAGGTGCCCGCCATCACACCCAGCTAATTTTTTGTATTTCTAATAGAGACGGGGTTTCGCCGTATTAGCCAGAATGGTCTCAATCTCCCGACCTCGTGGTCCACCCGCCTCGGCCTCCCAAAGTGCTGGGATTACAGGCGTGAGCCACGTGCCCGGCCTTTATGTATATTATGTATATATTATAGTGGTAATATAAGGGGTGTGTGTGTATACATATACACATATATGTGTATATAATTCATATCCCATCACAATAGACATATCTTCTCCACTATTTTTCCCACACTAATTGTTAGATGGCCAAATTTATTGGGTCAATTTCTCTGCTTACTATACCATTGCAATTATATAAGCAAACTGAACCTTTGGAAAATGCTAATTAATGAGGCAGGGTTTGACACGACTGAGTTTGAAAGGCCAGCAGCAGGGCTAGAAATACCACATACAACTGTGCTGCCCCATCACTGAATGATCTACTTTAAGCACTGAAAAGAAATTCAGAGATTATTCAGTGATCCAAGTCCCACAATTTTTTTTTCTTTCTTTTTTTTTTTTTTTTCTTTTTTTTGAGATGGAGTCTCGCTCTGTCGCCCAGGCTACAGTGCAGTGGCCGGATCTCGGCTCACTGCAAACTCCGCCTCCCGGGTTTACGCCATTCTCCTGCCTCAGCCTCCCGAGTAGCTGGGACTACAGGCGCCTGCCACCTCGCCCGGCTAGTTTTTTTTGGTTTTTGGGGTTTTTTTTTTTTGTATTTTTTAGTAGAGACGGGGTTTCACCATGTTAGCCAGGATGGTCTGGGCTCCTGACCTTGTGATCCACCCGTCTAGGCCTCCCAAAGTGCTGGGATTACAGGCTTGGGCCACCGCGCCCAGCCCACAATTTTTTCTTTCCAGAGCACTAACAATCATCAAATGACGTGGTCCTGACACCCTCATAACAAGAACCATCAGTACCTTCTTCTGTATTCCGCCAAAATATTTTAACCTGCATCACTTACTCTATACAGTCAAACCTAGTTAAAGGCAGAAAGCAAAACCACTTTCTGAACTGCCTGAATGATATATCTAGAGTTGTCTAAGTAATGGATTACACAGTTCCCAATTACTTGTGAACAGTATGAATGGTCTTCAAAAATACTACAGTTCCTATACTCCCTGCCCCATTCCATATCCACCTCCTCCCCCTGCCCCAGTCCATATCCACCTCCTCTCCACCCCAACCCCTCACAGTTACACAAGCATACTAAATCAAAGTAAAGGAATTGAACACCAATATAAACCTGGCAGAAATCTGAAATCACTGCCGCCTCAAACTTGAGATCATTGCAGCGCTCAGGTGTACTGTGACTCAGCATTTTACAGTGCCTGAGACATGAAATGATATAAAGGTCCTTTTCCCTTCATAGCATTGGCTAAATATGAAGCCAAAATAAATATGCTATCTCAAAACAGTTAGTGGCTGAAACATTACAGTGACACAGGTTTACTTCAGTCTCTGATTCTTGGGAGAAGAGCCTGTGTCAGTTTAAACACACAAAGTTCTTCTGAAATAACTCAAGCCATAAAATTAGCAAATTATGCTGACTACAATTAATACGCAGAAGTGGAGAAAATATTGCAAAGAAATGAAAATGAAATTCAAAAATAGTTACTGTGGTTACTGGTCTAGTCAGGTAAAAAAAAATAATAATAATAATAACAAGAACAAAAGAGGGAATTTACCCAGCTACTCTTCATTACAATATCAGAAGCTAAAATGGCATCAAGAGAGAATTTTTTCCCCTTGGAAAAAAAAAAAAAACTGAGTAAAACTGAAACAAATAGGAAACTCCAGCCCTTTTAAACTGTTCACGGGCAGAAGGCTAATAAGATAAAACAATATGAAATAAAAAAGATAAATTAATATGAAGGTTGCAATAAAGACAGATTTTCAGTTCATATTCTCACGTGGAGCAGGAACTAACAGAGAAATGAGACTGACAAGCAAGGAGATCTGGGAAGACGAGGTCATGAAAAGGGACAGACGGGCGTTTCCCATAGGTAATGGAGGAAGTCAGGGAATCCCAGTAGAAAAGCCAGAAATTTAAATGAGTAAAGACAATGTAAGCAAATAGGCCAAAAACAATAGTTAATACTTAATTTGTTTTAGCTTCTAAGTAATTTTTAAAATTTTAATTATTTATTATTTTGAGACAGGGTTGCATTCTGTCACCCAGGTTGGAGTGCAGTAGTGTGATCTTGGCTCACTGCAACCTCCACCTCCTGGGCTCAGGGGATTCTCCCACCTCAGCCTCCCAAGTAGCTGGGACTACAGGGGTGTGCAACCACCCCCAGCTAATTTTTGTATTTTTAGTAGAGAGGTGGTCTTGCCACGTTGGCCAGGCTGGTCTCAAACTCCTGACCTCAAGTGATCCATCCACCTCAGCCTCCCAAAGTTCTGGGATTACAGACCACAGCGCCCAGCCCTAAGTAACAGAAATGTATTAACTCTTTTAAACCAATGATATAAAAAATAATAAGCCCCATCTTACACCTGAGGAAACCACCTCAGAAAAGTTAACTTGTTGAAGGTCACATTGTTCCTAAATGACAGAGTCAGACTACCAACCGACACAATCTACCTTCGCCACAACTTTACACCTTCTCTTATGAACATCTCAAAATGTGAAAAGTAGAGAATTGGATTTCACAGCCATGCATGAGGAGGATGTCAGCATTTACACAGCAATCGTGGTTGGCAGAGGCAGTGGCTCAGGCCTGCAATTCCAGCACTTTGGGAGGCCAAGATGGCTGGTTCATTTGAGATCAGGAGTTCGAGACCAGCCTGGTCAACATGGTGAAACTCCACCTCTACTAAAAATACAAAAATTAGCCAGGCATGGTGATGGGCGCTTGTAATCCCAGCTACTCGAGACGCTAAGGTGGGAGAATCACTTGAACCCGAGAGGTGGAGGTTGCAGTGAGCTGAGATCGCGCCACTGCACTCCAGCCTGAGGGACAGAACGACACTGTCTCAAAAAAAAAAAAAAAAAAGAGTTCGGGATCCTACCACATTGTTGCACATTTTTTGTACCACAAAAGGTACAAACGAAGGGTGGTGGGAACTTGAATGAGACAGCAGTGTTCACCAGTGTCCAGTCAAGGAAGACTTCACAGAGGGAGCAGGATTTCAGATGGGATTTGAGGAAAAGGGTTTAAGGACTATCAATGACTTATCACTGATTACTCTTAGGGTTTTCGGGCTAAATTTCAGAGACCTTGTCATGGCATTCAGGCCCTCCACAACTAGGTCAAGGGGAACGCCAAGGAAGAAACATTATCCTGAGTAAGATGCTTATACTGAAGTCTTTGCTATCAGTTCAGGTTCCAAGGGATCATAAAATCTTACTTTTCTGTCTCCGTAAACCGTAAATGGGTTGAAGGCAGGCACTTTTGTAACACTCCTCTCTCCGGACCAGGCCTCTGTACATCATAGCACGTGGTAGATGCACAGCATTCACTTTCTGAGCGAAACTAAAACGAATGTAAATCAAGTCACCTGGTGGCCAGAGTTGCCTTACACCATCTAAACCTCTGGTATTAGCTAATTTTAAAGCTATCAAGAGGCTTAAACACGTGGTCCAGAAGCAACACGTGGACCTTGGTTTGGACTGGAATGCCACAAACCAATTGTAAAAGGCCATGCGATTATTTGAAAAACCTAAATATAGACTGGGAATTAGATTAAGGAATTGTTAATTTCATTAGATGAGATTACGTCGTCATGCTTTTAAAAGTTGTCTTAAATATATACACTCAGGGTATTTATGAATGAAACGGTTTCCCTGAAAACACTAGAGATGTATAGGGGAGCGAATGAAACAAAATTGGTAAAATGTAGCTAACTGCACTACGGGGTGTAATAGACTGCTTTTGTTGAATGTTTCATTATTCCCATAACATAAAACACAACATACACACACACACGCTCCCCAGTTTTTTTCATCGTAAGCCCCGAGGGAGCCAGACCCAGAGGGTCCACCGACGTCCTGGATTCTGAGAACGATTTCTGCGCGCCAGGCTGGCCTCCTGCAGGAGCCGGGGCCCACTTCCTTTCCCGACGGACTCGAAGCTAACGAAGCTGCCGCGTAGGCCTGTTAATCCCCTCAGTACCCAGTGCGAGGTTAAACACGCGACGTCGCAACCATGGCCTTTGAGAGGAAGCTGAATTCCTGGGGTGCGCCGTGTAGAGTTCATTTCCTACGTCGGCCCAGCACAGCAGCCTGGACCCAGAGGAGATCAGAGAACCAGCCACACTCTTCACCACCCCGACCCAGTGGCCGCGCCTCGGGCGCTCGGGGGCGGGCTCCGCACTGCGACGTCACGGCGCACCGTGCGCCCGGTCAAAGTTCAGCCCCGCCCCCGCTTCCCCCTCGCTGTCTCTCTCGGCCTGATCCGCTGCCGACGCCGCTTGTGGGCCCGGCTCCTCTCTGTCTGCTCCGCCACCTTCTTCCTGAGCACTGCCCGGCCGGCCGCCATGGCTAACGTGGCTGACACGAAGCTGTACGACATCCTGGGCGTCCCGCCCGGCGCCAGCGAGAACGAGCTGAAGAAGGTATCCGGGAGCGGGCCGGGCGGGCGGGTGTGAGGGGCGCGGGGCCTGCGCGGCCGGGGATGTCTTCTTCAGCCAGGCCGCGCTACTGGGCGGCCCGCGAGCCGGCGCCGGCCGTGACGGGCCCGGGCTGGGGATCGGCGGCGGCAGCGGCGGGACCGGCCTCGCGGCGAGCCGCGCCCTCCGGCCTCGGCTGACCTTGGGCCGCCGGCCCCGCCCGCCCGCAGATGCAGCAAATAAAACTCACTCCTGCGCAAACACGACGGTAGCCCTTCCTCCCTCCTCGGGCGAGCGCCGGTGGCCGGTCTCCCCCAGGAGGCAGCAGCTCGCCCGGCTCTCCACGTCGAGGTCACCACCCCGGAAAAACAGGTTGGACCGAGGTGCTCAGCGCATCCCGGCCCCGGGAGAGAAGCTGTCCACCCCGCGGCCGTCGGCCCCGGGTCTGGTGCTCCGCGGGGAAAAACGGCGGGGAGGTCCGGCGGGGAGGTCGAGGCCGCCCCCACAGAGCGCCTCGGGCAGATGGGGTTGTTTCCTGGGATCCCCGGCTGCGGGCTGCGGGAGCTCCTCCCTCTCTTCCTCCCTCGCCCATTGACCCGGAGGTAGCGTGGGTCTGTGTTTGGATGCATTGTTCTGTGGTCAGGTAATGCTAATGTCCTGTACCTGCTTAGGAATAAGCCGTGGTCCCAGCCAAACGCCTGAGTGTTCAATAAACATGAATAGAAGGCCTTATTATCGCTGTTTGCAATGCTGCGATATCTTTCATCTCAGGATTTCAAAGCACACGAGGCGTTTAAGCCCCACAGCATCCTCACCGGGCTAAGAGCATCCGGATTTGTAAGCCGAGAAAAATGAGAATGCTCCTTAGGCAGTGAGAAGAGTGCAGTGGACTTCCTGTTACCTTACCGGAAATGCTAGTCTGTATTATATAATTCACGAGCCTCCGTGAATGAAGATTTAAGTGCTGTATGACCCAAACACCTCGTTGAGAGTGTGCAACTTCATTACCACCGAAGTTGCCACCACGACCCCAGTTAACCACCACGTGCAAATAAAACACCTAAAGACACTACCTGGGACCACCTTGACTTTTTCATGATGTTACAGTTAGAAGGAAGGCATGAGCCATCGGGAGCAGGAATTGTGACTTTAGCTTGATTTATAGTAATGTTTTGCAGTCCGTAAAGCTTGACAGTCATTTATCTCGAATTTATTAGAGTGGTCTTGGTCTGGTTACTTGGCCATCAGACACTTGACGATAGGGAAAATATGGATAATGTTTGAACGTTTTCCCTATGGTATTGCTTCATTGTTTTATCTGGTTTTCACGTCACTGTAATTATTTTCAAGTATAGCTACAGTCTACTTGGTTATATTACATTAGTAAACAGTATCGTGAGGAAGTGCCAAAGAATACGAATAGAAAATATTTTTGGAAGGTTATAACTCTAGAACATTACTTTTCAGAAAAGTGGATGTTAAGTTGTTACAAAACTTTAAACTGGTGTTTAGTTATAACCTTCTTTGTTTTTGTCCATTTTCAAAGGCATACAGAAAGTTAGCCAAGGAATATCATCCTGATAAGAATCCAAATGCAGGAGACAAAGTAAGTTATTTGCGATTTTTTTATTCCGGGGGTTTTAGTTTTAACTTAAATTGCCCTCCTTGAAAAAAAGGAATGTTGCAGGAAAAAAATCCAACTATGCCCACACAGCCACATTTTCATAATGTCAAAAAGTATTTTAGTTTTAGAATAAGAGTACTACCATTCTGAGGAGTGGTGGGTGGTAAATAGAAGCAGAATCAAGTCAAAGGTAACTTGTCCCTTTTATTAGAATTAAATGGATTCTGGATTCCTATAGCCTCTCCCCACTCTTCTATTTGAAAATGCAATTATTTTTATTTTTACCTTTTCTTTATAGTTTAAAGAAATAAGTTTTGCATATGAAGTACTATCAAATCCTGAGAAGCGTGAGTTATATGACAGATACGGAGAGCAAGGTCTTCGGGAAGGCAGCGGCGGAGGTGGTGGCATGGATGATATTTTCTCTCACATTTTTGGTGGGGGATTGTTCGGCTTCATGGGCAATCAGAGTCGAAGTCGAAATGGCAGAAGAAGAGGAGAGGACATGATGCATCCACTCAAGTGAATATCTTGTTTTGTTGTGTTAAAAAATTAGGTGCTTTTTGTCAAGTGGAATATTGACTCAGTAGAAGAAAAAAAACTCATAGAATGTTCTGTCCTTCATTAGAAAAACTTCCATGTGCCTTGTCTTCTTTTGGTGACTAAATAGAATTTGATTATCTGACTGTTTCTATTTTGCTGTAGCTCTTAAAAGGATGGTAGATATTTTTTAATGAGAGGAAGGTGGTTTTATATGGTTCTGAGGCTGCTTGTTATTATAGGACTTAAAATTTCAAGTGTGAAGATCGTTTTCTTTTTTCTTTTCTTTCTTTTTTTGAGACTGAGTTTTGCTTTTGTTGCCCATGCTGGGGTGCAATGGCACAATCTCAGCTCACTGCAACCTCCGCCTCCTGGGTTCAAGCGATTCTCCTGTCTTCAGCCTCCCGAGTAGCTGGAATTACAGATGTGGCACCATGCCCAGCTAATTTTGTATTTTTAGTAGAGGTGGGATTTCTCCATGTTGGTCATGCTGGTCTTGAACTCCCAACCTCAGGTAATCTGCCTGCCTCGGCCTCCCAAAGTGCTGGGATTAGAGGCGTGAGCCACCATGCCTGATCTTTTTTTTTTTTTTTTTTTTTGAAATGGAGTCTGACTCTGTCACCCAGGTTGGAGTGCAGTGGCACCATCTAGGCTCACTGCAACCTCCGCCTTTCAAGTTCAAGCAATTCTCCTGCCTCAGCCTCCCAAGTAGTTGGGATTACAGGCACCTGCCACCATGCGGGGCTAATTTTTGTATTTTTTTAGTAGAGACAGGGTTTTGCCATGTTGGCCAGGCTGGTCTTGAATTCCTGAGCTCAGGTGATCAGGGATTACAGGCATAAGCCACTGCACCCAGCCTATTTTCTTTGAAGTATATGAATCTTCCAAGTTACCTTTTATTTAAAAACTAAAAATGAGTGACTGTCTGCCTACTTTGTGTACATGTTAGAGTCACTCATTACTTGATCCTCAGTGTGAACTCTCCTAAGTTGGTTTCCATGGAGCTTGCTGGCTTCCAGCCTGACATTAACCTGCCAACACATGAATGGTGCCTGACCTTGATCTTAGGCTGTGAATCCACAAGCCCTCTCCAGTATGAAATTAGCTATTTCACTTTGCAAAATCTGGGAGGTCTTTTTTCCCATTCTTTTTTTCGATAAATTATTTTATTAGCAAATGTCAGTGGCTGAAGTTCAGATACTTAAAATATTTCATAATATCCTAGTTTATACACTTGAGTAAATTAGAGGAAGTCATGTTATCTGTTAACTTGAGTCTCATTGAATCCTTAAATTTGTTTTTTAAAAGAATTTGCCCTCAGAAATTAACATTTGAATACCATTCCAATGGTAATATTTGTGCAGTGCAGGTTAATTCGTTTATATTTTTCTTTAATATAGAAATGATCTAAAAAGAAAATAGGATCAAAAGAGTGCTGTCTGTACTTTATAGTTCTTCATGTTTAAAGAAATGTTATGCTATATAGTAAAACAGTTTTCTGTTGTTTTAACATTTCATATTTTCCTGTTATTACAAATACTGTGTTTATAATACTGCATTCCATGATTTAATCATTTACCTTTTATATAGGGTATTGCCAGGTTTTTTTTTCTGTAATAGATAGTGCTGCTATGAGTATCTTTATGTAAAGCTTTGTTTCTCCTTGGCAGAGATTCCCAGGCAGGCATGAGTGTTTTGAGGCTGATAAATACAACTAAATTGCCTTGCACAGAGGGATTGTGCCAGTTTAGGCCCCACTAGTGGAGAGTGCCAGCCCTGCCAAACCATTACCTTCATTTTTCTTTCCTTGGCCTTCTTTGTTGAAATGTGTCTTTTTTTCTGGCTTAGGGTACTGGTTGTGCATATCAATTGTAATTTAATATGTAGGGGGAAAAAGCCGATTTTTAAAAAATGATTTGTTACAGAGAGTATAGAAGATGCAACAAGCTTTTTTGTCTAAGACTCAGCTGTAGATAGGTCATTATTTGACGGTGTTGTTGGTAATGTTTTGTCCTTACATGTGGTATTCTTATCCTGTCTACAACAGTTTTAAGTTTCTGAGAATAGGCCGGGCGCGGTGGCTCAAGCCTGTAATCCCAGCACTTTGGGAGGCCGAGACGGGCGGATCACAAGGTCAGGAGATCGAGACCATCCTGGCTAACACGGTGAAACCCCGTCTCTACTAAAAAATACAAAAACTAGCCGGGCGAGGTGGCGGACGCCTGTAGTCCCAGCTACTCGGGAGGCTGAGACAGGAGAATGGCGTGAACCCGGGAGGCGGAGCTTGCAGTGAGCTGAGATCCGGCCACTGCACTCCAGTCTGGGCGACACAGGGAGACTCTGTCTCAACAACAACAAAAAAAAGTTTCTGAGAATAACAATTTTGAGAAAGTTTGAATATCACAAAATAGTGTAGGTGCTTTGTAAAATACTTTTAACTATTTTTTTATTCCTGTAACTCCCAGGATTTTAAAGCAAATCATTACAGGATGACCATTCCTAATCTGAAATCTGAAATGCTCCAAAATATGAAACTTTTTGAGCACCATCATGATGCCACAAGTAGAAAACTCCACACATAAGTACTTGTCTCACTCAGTCCCCCAGGCTGGAGTGCAGTGGTGCGATCTCAGCTCACTGCAGCCTCAATCTCCAGGGCTTAAGCAATTCCCTGCCTCAGCTTCCTGGGTAGCTGGGACTTCAGACATGCCACTATTCCTGGCTAATTATTTTTTATTTTTTGGTAAAGATGAGGTCTCTCTAAGTTGCTCAGGCTGGTCTTGAACTGCTAGGCTCAAGCAATCCTTCCTCATTCTCCCGAAGTGCTGGGATTATAGGCATGAGCCACTGCACCTGGCATGAAAAACGATTCTTTCCCTCCTTTCTGTCATACTATTGGTAGGGCCACTTTTATTTTTTTTTAAGACATATGCCATCTAAGTGACTCACTTAAGCTGAAATACAACTTTGTAGCCTTTCTAAATTGTCCATGGAGCAAACAGGGACTCTGGAGCCAGACACCTATGTGATCTTGGGCAAGTTACTTGACTGTTCTGTGCCTCAGTTTTATCACATAAAATGGGAATAATAATCGTACCTCTTCTGAAGTGTTTTTCTTAGGAGTTGGGTGGAGGGCTTATGCCTCAGAACAGAAGGTTGTGATGTTTGAGTTTGTGAAGTCATCAGCTTTATCAGAAATTCCACCACAGCAAATTGTTGACCTGATGCTATGGGCTCTGACTTTGAGTATCGCATATATACTGTCTGTAGTCATAAAATATTTCTGTTAATTTCAGCCATAAAATAAACCTCAGTTGAATGATTTAATGTGAGATTATGAGGTGTTTTTGAATTCTGTTTTAAAAGTTGATAATGAATTTGCTGTATCAGCTGTTATTTATATCTTGTATTTGAGCAAATGTGGCAAAATTTGATTGAAGCTGATTATTTTCTTTCCAGAGTATCATTAGAAGATCTGTATAATGGCAAGACAACCAAACTCCAACTTAGCAAGAATGTACTCTGTAGTGCATGCAGTGGGTAAGTGTGTCCTCTGGTTTATTGGGTACATTTTGTCTGTTCTTTAAGTGTCACACTGATTGTACCAGGTAAAAATTGTTATGAGTTAAAACTTACGGCCGGGTGCAGTGGCTCACACCTATAATCCCAGCACTTTGGGAGGCCGAGGTGGGTGGATCACCTAAGGCGGAAGAATCACTTGAACCCGGGAGGTGGAGGTTGCAGTGAATCAAGATTGCGCCACTGCGCTCCAGCCTGGGTGACAGAGTGAGACTCCATCTCAATCAATAAATAAATAAATCTTAGCAGAACGTTTTCTGATACTTCTGAAAGTCAATTTAAACACAAGTTATTGTGTTTAAATACAAGTTATTGGGGTTGAAGTTAAGGTAAAAGTACAATTTCTGTGTGTCATAGCTTATTGGAGTGGTCTGTGGACAAAAACCTAATGCATAACTTGTGTTTGCTTTAGCCAAGGTGGAAAGTCTGGAGCTGTCCAGAAGTGTAGTGCTTGTCGAGGTCGGGGTGTGCGCATCATGATCAGACAGCTGGCTCCAGGAATGGTACAACAGATGCAGTCTGTATGCTCTGATTGTAATGGAGAAGGTATGTGTGCCAGTACTTCTCTGCTTTTATGTTGAAATGGATTGAGAATGCAGATATTGGAGAGGTTTTCAATTTTTTATTTCAAAGGGTATTTGTTTACATCTTATTAAAGAAAAAGGAGGCCGGATGCGTTAGCTTATTCCCATAATTCCAGCACTTTGGGAGACAGAGGTGGATTGCTTGAGCCCAGGAGTTCGAGGCCAGCTTGGGCAACATAGGGAGACCTCATTACTATAGGAAAAAAAGTGTAGAAAAATATGTAATCAGGGGCTCAGGGCATGTCTGTGGTCCCAGCTGCCTGGGAGGCTGAGGCGGGAGGATTGCTTGAGCCCGGGAGTTCAAGGGAGCAGTGAGCCGTGATCATGTCAGTGCACTCCAGCCGGGGCGACAGAACAAGACCCTGCTGCAAAAATAAAAGCGTGAAAGTAATTACTCCATTATGCCTAAGCCCAGTGAACGTAGAGAAACAGTAGATTTGTATTGTGTTAGTGAAAGGTGACTCCTTAATTCTGAAAAGAGGGGCAAGGTGATTATTTGTTCCTTTGCTATTTCCTTCTTTATCAAATATAACCTTTTATATACTGTCTCTGTAGAAATGACCACCATGGGAGGACTATCTCCTTTCTCAAGTAGAACCTTTTAAACTACAAAGGGACAAATAAATAATAAATAACTAAACAAGTAATTGTTTAGTTACTCTGATAAGTAGAAGATTTTACTGTAACCTTTAGTTAGCTTTAAAGAATTGATTTTGAGATTGAAACTGTCCTCACAGAAGTAAATAATTTAGTCTTTGTGGGCCAAATAGTTTTTGTTACAACTACACACCTCTGACTTTTAGTGCTTTTATAGCCACAGACAAATGGGTATGGCTGTGTTCTGATTAAAATTTTAATTATAAAAACAAGTAGCTCCTCCCACCCCTGCCATTCTAGAGCAGTGCTATCCAATAGAATTTTTTTCTGTGGTGATGGAAATGTTCTGTATCTGCAGTGTTCAGTACAGTAGCCATTAATCACCTGTGACTACTGCATACTTCACATGTGGCTAGTGTGACTGGGGAACGATTTTAAATTTGAATTAATTTAAACATAAACTTAAGTAGCTACAGGTAGATAGTGGCTACCACATTAGACAGTATAGTTCAAGAGCATCTTTTTCCACATTGCTATTGGAAGTGATGAGATAATTATGGGAAGCTACATATGATGTTTGCTTCCTGGATAATCTTGGCATTTTACTTTATTTTTTAAAATTATTATTATTTTTGGAGATAGGGTGTTGCTGGAGTTCTGTGGCGCATTCTCGGCTCACTGCAGCTTCCACCACCCACGCTCAAGCAATCCTCCCACCTCAGCCCCTCACCCCACAATTAGCTGAGACCACAGGTGCTTGCCACCACGCCCAGCTAATTTTTGTATTTCTTGTAGAGACTGGGTTTTGCCATGTTGCCCAGGCTGGTCTCGAACTCCTGGATTCAAGCAATCCTCCTGCCCCAGCCTCCCAAAGGGCTGGGATTACAGGTGTTAGCCACCACTCTTGGCCTCCTTTTATTTTATTAAAATTGCTAACTCCCACTATCAAGAAACCAAAGTTAACTGAAATCTTTTCTCATGTACCATTACTTTTTTTTTTTTCTTTTTTCTTTTTTTTTTAAAATGTGAGACAGAGTCTTGCTCTGTTGCCTAGGCTAGAGTGCAGTTGCGCGATCTCAGCTCACCGCAACCTCTGCCTCCTGGCTCAAGTGATTCTGCTGCCTCAGCCTCCTGAGTAGCTGGGATTACAGGCGCCCGCCATGACACCCGGCTGATTTTTGTATTTTCAGTGGAGACGGGGTTTTGCCATGTTGGCCAGGCTGGTCTCAAACTCCTGACCTCAGGTGATCCTCCTACCTTGGCCTCCCAAAGGGCTGGGATTACAGGCGTGAGCCACCATGCCCCGCCACCATTACCATTTTGAAGAACTGGTGTTTCGCAGAACATACTTTGCAAAAGTACTGTTACAGAAACAGCCCCTAAATAATCAGTTATACACATCTTTCTAAGCCTCCAAATGTGCCAGTAATTAGCCATTAGAAAGTGACACAATTTTTTCACACTATACTATGTATAATTACAGTTTTGCTTTTTTATACCATAATTAAATATTTCAGAAGAATATATAGAAGAGAAAAGCCGTGTTGCCCTAAACATGGTATGGATACATTACATTCTGAAATAGTGGGAAGCTGAGTCCTTCAGGCAATCTGCAGTAGTAAGATGTAAGTTTTTGTTATTCAGAATAATGCTTTTTTTTGTTTTGTTTTGAGACATGGCCTCACACTGTTACCCAAACTGGGGTGCAGTGGCATGAGTATAACTCACTGCAGCCTCGACCTCCAGCAGTCCTCCCTCCTCAGCCTTCCGAGTAGCCAGGATTACAGGTGTGCACTACCATGCCGGCTAACTTTTTTTATTTGTAGTAGAAGCAAGGTCTCACTGTATTGCTAGGCTGGTCCCAGATCCTGAGCTCAAGTGATCCTACCACCCTGACCTCGCAAAATACTGGGATTGCAGGCTTGAGCCACTATGCTTGGCCTCAGAATGCTGCTTTGAATAAAAATTTAGGTAGCTATTAAAAAAAATTCAGAAAGTATATTTAAAGGATAAGAGTATTAAAGAGTACAGTATAGTACTCTTGCTGAAAGTTTCAATGACTTCTTTTTCCAGGAGAGGTAATTAATGAAAAAGACCGCTGTAAAAAATGTGAAGGGAAGAAGGTGATTAAAGAAGTGAAGATTCTTGAAGTCCACGTAGACAAAGGCATGAAACATGGACAGAGAATTACATTCACTGGGGAAGCAGACCAGGCCCCAGGAGTGGAACCTGGAGACATTGTTCTTTTGCTACAGGAGAAAGAACATGAGGTGATTTTCCTTTTTTTAGTTTTTTGTGTTTTGTTTTATTCAGAAGTACTTCTTGTTTGTGAGAAATAGGTTAGATCTGTTTGGAGTCCCTGGAGCAACACTGCACACTGGAGAAGTTAAGGGAATCATGGCAAATTCCTAAAGACAGGCTTGTGTAAGAAAGACTAACAAGGCAGGTCCCGTTAGAAGCACTATAAGAGTCAGTTTTAGTCCTGGCTTGGTTTTTTTTCCCCCCCGCCCAAGATGGAGTTTCACTGTTGTTGCCCAGGCTGGAGTGCAGTGGCGTGATCTCGGCTCACTGCAACCTCTGCCTCCCGGGTTCAAGCGATTCTCATGCCTCAGGCTCCTGAGTAGCTGGGAATGCAGGCGCGCACTACCACTCCTGGCTAATTTTTATTTTTAGTAGAGACGGGCGTTCTCCATGTTGGTCAGGCTGGTCTTGAGCTCCTCAGGTGGTGCGCCTGCCTCAGCCTCCCAAAGTGCTGGGATTAACAGCGGGAGCCACTGCACCCAGCGTTGGTCTTTTTTTTTTTGACGGAGTTTTTTTGACTGCACCCAGGCTGGAGTGCAGTGGCGCAATCTTGGCTCACTGCAACTTCCGCCTCCCAAGTTCAAGCGATTCTCCTCTAGCTTGGTCGTTGACTAGCACTTTAACCGTAGGTAGTCTTACTGTCTCAGTTTCTTTGTTTATGAAAATAAGGGCACTGGGCGTTGGACCAGTTGGTCTAAGGCAGCCTGTTTTTTCACTGTGAAACTCTGCTGCTCTGTTGATTTGGTTTTTACTTATTGGGTAGCCAAGTGAGCTATCCTTGAAAGAGTTCTAGGATTTAAAAAAAACAAAACAAAACAAAACATTTTTTTTAGAAGTTTCTGAAGAATGTGGTCACTAGTGTATGTTTTGGGGTTTTTTTGTTTTTGAGATGGTCTTGCTCTGTTGCCGAAGCTGGAGTACAGTGGCGTGATCTGGGATCACGGCAACCTTTGCCCCTGGGCCCAAGCAATCCTCCTATCTCAGCCTCCCAAGTAGCTGGGACAACTGACGCACCATCATGCCCATCTGTTTTTTTTGGGTTTTTTGTTTTGTTTTGTTTTGTTTTTGTATTTTTAGTAGAGACGGGGTCTTGCCATATTGCCCAGGCTGGTCTTGAACTCCTGAGCTCAAGCAGTCCTCCTGTCTCGACCTCCCAAAGTGCTGGGATTACAGGTATGAGCCACCATGCGCAGCCTAGTGTATGTTATTTTGATTTTAGCATTGCACTTGTATATTTTTAATGTCCATATTATATACTGTAGACCTTACTCATAAAGAATATATCTGGAGCTATTCATGAAAAACCCCTCCAGTAATCACGTAAATTCTTGAATGTTAGAAGCACTTGGTAGGACTCTAGCTTTGTACTTGATCACATTTACTCATGCTTTCCTCTGAAAGTCATTATATCACAGGTTAACTACCTTTTTAGTTTGCCCTAAAATTTTCTCCTGTGCATAAGTCCAGTCAACACAGAGAAATGGTAAATTTGTATTATGTTCAGTGAAAGGTTATTCTTTTTAATTCTAAAAAGGTGGGCAAGCTGATTATCTGTTTGTAATTTAAAGGTTATATATTTAATAAAGAAGGAGATCGTCCTTCTGTGGTGGTCATTTCTTCAAACAGAGTAAATGTTAAAAATCACTTTAAGAATCCAATAGAGAACAACAAAGCCATATTGAGATCCAGGTTTTAGGAATTTGGTTGTAATCCCTCACAAGGTCAGACTTGATCTCCTGGACAATCAGGGCGTGCTAGTCAGCTTTCATGACTCAGCAAAGCTACAAATTATGTATTTTGGCTTTTTGTGGAAATTGCCAACCCTGCAAATAGCAAACGTCTCCTAGGTTGTCAAAAAATAAGAGTAGTTTTTAGAATTCTGCCTTTGGGTCTTATAGGATGAAATATTTACAAGATTTGCCATTTGTTAACATTTTAGCTACTTCCTTGTTCATTCAGTCTTGCTGCTGTGCACAGCACCATACCAGGAATATGAGGGAGAAAGCTAGCAAGACAGCTAAATAATTGGGAATTCTGCTTGGATGTAGGTTAGACTGTGTTGTAAAATGGTACAGACAATGCCTAGGCATTTTCATTGATAGAATCCTTGGAGTAGTTTGGGGTTCATTGTCAAATGATGTCTGGCAGGTGCAGCAGCACAGTAGTGAGGAAGTGAAGAAGGAATGCTTATTTGCAGAAGAAAGATGATTTTTTTGGTTTGAGGCATGTCAAACTGATGGTAAAACCTTTTTTTATTCCTAAGTTTAGTTTTTAATGTTGCTGCATAATAAATTGGGTTTTTTAAAAGTAGATCATTGGATTTCGAGGCAAAGGACTTAAGGTCTGGGCCCCATTTACTAGCTTTGGCTTCCCTGGACTTTTCAGATATTAAAGAGTCAAATGAGATTATGAATAAGCTTCTTTCTTAGGGCCTGTGGGGAGGTGTTGGGAAGTAAGTCATCTCTGAAAGTTGTTGGCAGCAGTGGAATTGGCATGGAATTTTCAACAGAAGGCAGATGTAACTGGTTGTCTAAGGTAGAAAATAGAAGGTGGTAAAGGTTAGAATGGAAGTTTGTCTAGTTCCTTCTTGGGAGTGCTGTATCATCTATAGTCATCATCTTGCCATGTCACTCGTCAGTGTGCCCGTTTGTGTGTCTCGGTGGTCTGGTTACCATAATGCAGTTATACAGCATCAAACTACAGAACCTGGTGATGTTAGTCACGCCTCTATAACTTGTGCTTTTGTTATTCAGAAATTATGACTTTTAAGTGTTTTCTGGTCTAGTGCTTTGGTAGTCCCTCCTCATTAATTTTGTTTTTCAGAAACTCTCCGGCATTCTTGCTTGTTTATTCTGTTTAAACTTTTAGCATCCAGTTTAGCTTCTCCCCCTCCACTGCAACAACCATCCTGATAATCATTTTTTTTTTAAATCACTTTCAGTTGAACTCTCCTGTACAAGAACATGATACATATCTCTTTCTTTTTTTTTTTTTTTTTTTTAAAGAGACAAAGTCTCGCCCTGTCCTCCAGACTGGAGTGCAGTGGCGCAATTGTATTTTTAGTAGAGACAGGGTTTCACTATATTGGTCAGGCTGGTCTCAAACTCCTGACCTCAAGTGATCTGCCCACCTCAGCCTCCCAAAGTGCTGGGATTATAGGTGTGAGCCACCATGCCCTGCCCCTCCTTTTTATTTATTTTTTTATTTTTTTTGAGACGGAGTCTCACTCTGTCACCCAGGCTGGAGTGCAGTGGCGCAATCTCTGTTTACTGCAACCTCCACCTCCCAGGTTCTAGCGATTCTCCTGCCTCAGCCTCCCAAGTAGCTGGGACTACAGGCCTGTACCACCACACCCGGCTAGTTTTTATATTTTTAGTAGAGACAGAATTTCGCCTTGTTGACCAGGACCTCAGGTGATCCACCTGCCTCAGCCTCCCAAAGTGCTGGGATTATAGGCATGAGCTACTGCTTCCGTCCTAAAATAATATGACTTTAACAAAGGATATTTGGTAAGATGGTTCTTAGAACACTCGCATTTTACAGTATACTTAGCATTTTATTTTAAATTTATTATTATTTTTAAAAGACAGGATATCCTTCTGTCATCCAGGCTGGAGTGCAGTGGCTGGATCATTGAGGAGGGACTACTACCGCAGGCTCCAACTCCTGGGCTCGAGGGATCATCCTGCCTCAACTAGCCTATTTTGTGTTTTAATTTTTTGTCTCCCTATGTTGCTGTTTTGAACTGGCCTCCCAAAGCTCTGACCCTATATTTAGGTTTTTAAAATTTTTTTTTTTTTTTTTTTTAATTGAGATGGAGTCTCGCTCTGTCGCCCAGGCTGGAGTGCAGTGGCGCGATCTTGGTTCATTGTAGTCTCCGCCTCCCAGGTTCAAGTGATTTTCCTGCCGCAGCCTCCTAGGTAGCTGGAACTGCAGGCGCCCACCACCACACCTAGCTAATTTTTGTGTTTTTAGTAGAGATGGGGTTTCACCATATTGGCCAGGCTGGTCTTAAACTCCTGACCTTGTGATCCGCCTGCCTTGGCCTCCCAAAGTGCTGGGATTACAGGCATGAGCCACTGCGCCTGGCGTACTTAGCATTTTTAATGCGTTGAAAAATCCTGTATTAAAGAAACTATTGGTCCCGTTGTGAGAAACAATTGACTTGAATAAATGTGCATAGATAATATACCTTTTTGGATCTCAAACTAGCACACACAAGAATGCCTGGAGGGCTTGTTAGGACTACAGATACTGGGTCCTGCCTGCCTTGTTTCTGGCAGGAATGGAAGTGGGGCCCAAGAATATGTGTTCCTAACAAGTTTCCTGAAGCTGCTTGTCCAGAACCACACTTAGAGAATCATTGGTTAAGGTAATGGTTTAACTTTGTTTAATGGGTAAATTTAGGAGAGTAACATAGGAAAAGAATCTGTCTACCAGATTTTCTGTAAGTGAACCAGCCAGGATTGTTCTTTACAAGAAGAGTGACCATTGTAAAATCTAAGCAAAAATTGCAGATTGGGCATGTGAAATTGGATATATTTTTCCTACACATTGAAGGCCCAGAAACATTCTTTGTGCTTATTCTCAATACCTTTTGCATTACCTAGTCCATAGGCTTATAGTGTAATATTGAATGAACCAGTTTTACATTTTAGTGAGATATGAAACTTGTTGGTACGTGTGTGAAGCATAGAATTGAGCCACTTGACTTTGCTGGCTGGGTGTTACTGGTTGAGGTTTTTTTATGTTGACCTTGGGCCCTCCCCCCCTTCCGTGTTATGATCATGTCTGGGGAGCACTCCAGGATGAGCTTGTTCTGTAGAAGCCCTCTGGACTTTCTATACCTTTTTCACCAGAGGCAGAATCTGAAAGTGGGCCATAATTGCAGAATACACCTGGCCCTGTTTTGGGGGCCTCAGTTCTGTTGCTCTTTTTTTTTTTTTTTTTTTTTTTTTTTTTAAGACGGAGTCTCGCTCTGTCGCCCAGGCTGGAGTGCAGTGGTGCGATCTCGGCTCACTGCAAGCTCCGCCTCCCGGGTTCACGCCATTCTCCTGCCTCAGCCTCCCGAGTAGCTGGGACTACAGGCGCCCACAACCGCGCCCGGCTAATTTTTTGTATTTTTAGTAGAGACGGGGTTTCACCGTGGTCTCGATCTCCTGACCTTGTGATCCGCCCGCCTCGGCCTCCCAAAGTGCTGGGATTACAGGCGTGAGCCACCGCGCCCGGCTGTTGCTCTTATATATGCCATTGTTTACCAGTTCCAGTAAACCTTCCTCATGGAAGTGAGTGGTAGAAATAAGGTTTGGAATTTAAGTCAACGAACATAGTGCCGCAGGGTGTAGCTCCATAATTTTTAAGCAAATGTATTTCTTTCGTGCTTTATTTATAGGTATTTCAGAGAGATGGGAATGATTTGCACATGACATATAAAATAGGACTTGTTGAAGCTCTATGTGGATTTCAGTTCACGTTTAAGCACCTTGATGGACGTCAGATTGTGGTGAAATACCCCCCTGGCAAAGTAATTGAACCAGGTAAATCTTGATTTTGTCTGATTCTGGTTTTCAGGTATTCTTACAATTTGTAATATTTTTTATACTGCATAACTCTAAAAACAAATGAACACCTCTTTTGGGTAAAATTATGAATCATTCCTCTTAATAGGATGTGTTCGTGTAGTTCGAGGTGAAGGGATGCCGCAGTATCGTAATCCCTTTGAAAAAGGTGATCTTTACATAAAGTTTGATGTGCAGTTTCCTGAAAACAACTGGATCAACCCAGACAAGCTTTCCGTAAGTGTTCTTTAAATTAAACAACAGTTGACTTCTAGGTTTGGGATTTGGATTTTGGTTTTTTAGACAGGGTCTCTGTCGCCCAGGCTGGGGTGCCGTAGTGTGATCGTGGCTCACTGCAGCCTTGACCTCTTGGGCTTAAGCGATCCTCTCACCTCAGCCCCCCGAGGAGCTGGGACTACAGGTGTGTGATGCCACGCCTGGCTAATTAAAAAAAAATTTTTTGGAAACACAGTCTCACTGTGTCACCCCAGCTGGAGTGCAGTGGTGCAGTCTCAGCTCACTGTATCCTCCGCCTCCCAGGTTCAAGTGATTCTCATGCCTTAGCCAACCAAGTAGCTGGGATTACAGGCGTGAGCCACAATGCCTGGTAAGTTTCTTTTTCTTTTTCTTTTTCTTTTTTTTTTTTTTTTTTTTTGAGACGGAGTCACTCTGTCGCCCAGGCTGGAGTGCAGTGGCTGGATCTCAGCTCACTGCAAGCTCAGCCTCCCGGGTTTACACCATTCTCCTGCCTCAGCCTCCCGAGGAGCTGGGACTACAGGCGCCCGCCACCTCGCCCGGCTAGTTTTTTTTTTTTGTATTTTTTAGTAGAGACGGGGTTTCACCGGTTTAGCCAGGATGGTCTCGATCTCCTGACCTCGTGATCCGCCTGTCTTGGCCTCCCAAAGTGCTGGGATTACAAGCTTGAGCCACCACACCCGGCTTTTTCTTTTTCTTTTTCTGTTTTTTTTTTTTTTTTTTTTTTTTTGAGACGGAGTCTTTCTCTATCGTCCAGGCTGGAGTGCAGTGGCGCGATCTCAGATCTCAGCTCACTGCAAGCTCTGCCTCCTGGGTTCTTGCCATTCTCCTGCCTCAGCCTCCCAAGTAGCCGGGACTACAGGCACCCACCACCATGCCCTGCTAATTTTGTTTTTATATTTTTAGTAGAGACGGGGTTTCACCATGTTAGCTAGGATGGTCTCGATCTCCTGAACTCGTAATCCACGTGCCTCGGCCTCCCAAAGTGTTGGGATTACAGGCGTGAGCCACTGCACCCGGCCAAGTTTCTTTCTTTTTAAGAGAGTCTCGCTCTGTTGCCCAGGCTAGCGTGCAGTGGCATGATCATGGCTCACTACAGGTGTGCTCCACCATACCCTGCTAATGCTTTTCAAAACTTTTCATAGAGGTGGAGTCTTGCTGTGAGTCCAGACTGGTCTCAAGCAATCCTCCTGCCTCCTGAAATTCTAGGATAGCAGTTGTGAGCTGCCGTGCCCAGCTGACTTCAAGTTTCTTAATAGTCATGTTAACATTCAATTTTAAAGTATATTTGTGTGATTGGTAGGCTTTCCTAGTTGTTAGGAAATAGAGTATTGCTGATGTAAATGTTGATGGGGCCAAGCAGGGAATTGTAGAGAAGTAAAGTAGATCCGGTGTGGGTGGTGGTGAGGACTAGCACTCCCTGAAGAGAGCAGATTCCTCACTTGCAGAGGGCGGGACCACTACCCCCTTCTCATCAGCTGGTGTCCATGCCGGATGCAGGAAGGCGTGTCTCCTGTAGAAGTTTTCTAATGTTAAAGTATTGGCAGCTAATGACATTTTTTTTTTGTTCTTAAAGCAATAGGTTGCACAAAAGATGTCTAGATTTGGCCTGTGAGTGATGAGTTTGTGATCTCTTACTTAGAGTTCAAAGTCCAGTCCACATTCCTTTTTTTAACTTTTTTTTTTTGAGATGGAGTCTTGCTCTGTCATTCAGGCTGGAGTGCAGTGTCACAGTCTTAGCTTACTGCAACCTCCACCTCCTGGGTTCAAGCAATTCTCCTGCCTCAGCCTTCCAACTAGCTGGGATTACAGGTACCCACCACCATGCCCAGCTAATTTTTTGTATTTTTAGTAGAGACGAGGTTTCACCATGTTGTCCAGGCTGGTCTCAATCTGCTGACCTCCTCATCCGCCTGCCTCAGCCTCCCAAAGTGCTGGGTGAGATTATAAGCATGAACCACCACGCCCAGCCCCTTTTTTAACACTTAAAGAAACGACACTGGATTGTATATATCAAAAGGAAAGTTGATGAAACTGTTAAAACCAACCTGGTTTTTGTTTGTTTTAATAAAGGAACTAGAAGATCTTCTGCCATCTAGACCGGAAGTTCCTAACATAATTGGAGAAACAGAGGAGGTAGAGCTTCAGGAATTTGATAGCACTCGAGGCTCAGGAGGTGGTCAGAGGCGTGAAGCCTATAATGATAGCTCTGATGAAGAAAGCAGCAGCCATCATGGACCTGGAGTGCAGTGTGCCCATCAGTAAACTCTGCAAACAAATTGCACAGGTGGATTTTCTTTCCACATTTGCCTGATTTGTTCTCAGCAATCCAGCTGGAGTGTCTTATCAATCCAGATGAACTGAGGGACATCTGTTGGTCTATGTATAACTTTTAAAATTGGTATAGTATCTACAGAGTGTATAATTTAAACTAACCACAAAGCTTTACATCTTCATTTCGACTGTTCCATAGCAGAATAAAGCACTTGAAAGGAAACAAGACTCCCTTTCACATGTGGATATTATAAGTTTCAATCCTGGTATCTGTGCTTGATTTTTATCAGTTTTGTGTAGATTTTTATGTTTCATATTTTAAATTTAAATCCCACATTGTAAAGTTTGTATAATTTGTCCTGAAGCTTTGTGTTTGGCTGCACTTGCATAAGCTGCTACAAATAGAATAAAGAATTTCATAGCCTGTATCTATCATTTAGATGCATGGAAAAAAATGGGCTTTGCACACAATGGGTTTGGAGCTGACTGGGAACAATGGAAAAAATTACATTAGCTGTGGTTGTAAAGTTTTTTTGTTTTTGGTGTTTTTTTTTTTTTCTTTTTTTTTTTTCTTTTTTTTTTTTTTTTTTTTACCATCTTGTGAAAGGTTTCTGAAACTCGATAATAAAAAGCAGTTGGTGTAAATTATTCTTTTGTGTCACATTTTTAGAAGGGAAAAACATAAAGAATGTATCCTTAGTACTGGTTCTTAAACAGCCCATAAAAACCCATTGGCCTGAAGCTTATATCTCAGGCCTGTGCCCATCTTATAGTCTTAGTAGACAAAAGGCTGGTAGAGACAGTCTTCAGTGGCTTCAGTGATGCTCTCTAGAGGCCAGGGTGTCTTGAGTGCTGTAACTCCTGAGCAGTGGGCTAGCCTGACTTCTGTATCTCCCCACCACCACCCCCTTAAAAAAATAAGGTAAGAGCAAATCTATAGTAAAACCATGTCTGCATAGAACGTCTTCAAATCCTGTTTTCATTAAATGTAGAAGACGCTCTGTCTCCATTACGTTGAATATTTGGAATTGGAGAAGCCATTGATTATTAGATTTTCTTTAATGTTTTATAGAAAAGATGCTTATTCAGAATTTAAGAATGAAGGCAACTGAAATACGCATTGTTGTAGTTATTTATATTTCAAACTAAAGAAAATGAGAAAAATCAGGTAAAATTGATGAAAAGGATGTTGTATTTCTCTTTCCATCATCTGGTTTTTACCATTTCACTCTCAGTAGGTATTTGTAGAACACATTTATTTGAGGGAAGATGCACATTTCACATTTATAAAGGAACAAATGGGGAAAGCTGAAAACGAAAAATTTTTAATGTATTAAAATGCCATCCCTGAGCCTAAATCTAGTATTTGTAGTTTATTTCTAGGTCTGCTAGAAGCTGAAAACCTGAATGAAAAAGGTGTGCTGACACTAATGAAGGCCTGTGAGGTTTAAATTACTGACCTATCCACTCTACCTCCATTGTACAAAAAATATTTTACAAGCCTGGGCAAGATTCAACAGCATAATAGTTTTGTATCCAAGGTTACTTCCCCACAACCACTTTAAACATAAGAAATGCGGTGGCAATATAAAGTTTGTAGCCTTTCCAATAAAGGTTTATAAAACAGTTGTTCAGTGTAGTCTGTCTCATTTCTACCCAGGTGTTTTGACTGTAGGCAAGAAAACTATTTGGGGCCGGGCGCGGTGGCTCACGCCTGTAATCCCAGCACTTTGGGAGGCCGAGGTGGGCGGATCACGAGGTCAGGAGATCGAGACCATCCTGGCTAACACGGTGAAACCCCGTCTCTACTAAAAAAAAAAAAAAATGCAAAAAATTAGCCGGACGAGGCGGCGGGCGCCTGTAGTCCCAGCTACTCGGGAGGCTGAGGCAGGAGAATGGCGTGAACCCGGGAGGCGGAGCTTGCAGTGAGCTGAGATCGCGCCATTGCACTCCAGCCTGGGCGACTAAGCGAGACTCTGTCTCAAAAAAAAAAAAAAGAAAAAGAAAACTATTTGGAAGAGAGTTGCTGTTAAGGTGTGTTATTTCACTTGGTCTCCTTGCTCTAGTTTGTAGAGCACCTGCCTAGAGAACCAATCATACAGGGTCACCAGCACAGATAATTTTGTTTAACAGCTTTATTCAAGATATGATTTATATACCATAAAATTTACCATTTTTAAAAATTTGCCACAATTCAGTTGATTTCAGTATATTCAGCCATCTCCACTAATTTCAGAACATTTTCATCAAAGAAGAAACCCCCAATCCATTAAGTCACTTTCTGTTCCATTCTCTCCTCAACTCCTGGTGTAATCACTAATAGCTAATTCTGCTTCTAAATATTTGCGTATTTTGGACATTTTGTATAAATTAGATCAAAATACATGACCTTTAGTGATGCATTCACTTAGCTTAATGTTTTCAGGATTTATTCTTGTTGACGGCATAGATCTGCACAGTAATAGCAGGGATACATTCTGAGAAGTGCATGGTTAGGCGGTTTCATCATGCAAACGGTGTACTTGCACGAACCTAGGTGGGGTAGCCGACTGTACACCTATATGGTATAGTGTATCGATCCTAGACTACAAACCTGTACAGCTTGTTACTGTAGGCAGTTGTAACACAATGGTAAGTCGTTTTCTGTTTACCTTTTGGTACAGTAAAAGTACCTTATATGAGAAAAGGGCCTGGTGTGGTGGCTCACGCCTATAATCCCAACACTTTGGGAGGCCAAGGTGGGCGGATCACCTGAGGTCAGGAGTTCAAGACCAGCCTGGCCAACATGGCTAAGCCCTGTCTCTACTAAAAATACAAAAATTTGCTGGGTGTGGTGGCATGAGCCTGTAATCCCAGCTACTCAGAGGCTAAGGCTGGAGAATCATCCCAGAGGCAGAGGTTGCAGTGAACCAAGATCGTGCCACTGCACTCCAGCCTGGGTAACAGAATGAGACTCCATCTCAAAAAAAAAAATAAAAGATGGTACACTTGGATAGGGCTCTTACCATGAATAGAGTTGGCAGGACTGGAAGTCCTGATTCGGTTGAGTCAGTGAGTGAATATGAAGGCATAGGCCATTACTGTAGAGATTGTAAGCACTGTACACAGGATACACTACATTTGTAAAACCTTTTTCTAAAATAATAATTAAGGCTGGGCATGGTGGCTCATGCCTGTAATCCTAGCACTTTGGGAGGCCCAGGCAGAAGGACTGCTTGAGCCCAAGAGTTCAATAACAGCCTGGGAAACAGAGATCCCATGTCATAATTTTTTTTATTTTTTTATTTTTTTGAGACGGAGTCTTGCTCTGTTGCCCAGTCTGGAGTGCAGTGGTGCAATCTCAGTGGTGCTAACTGGAGTGCAGTTAGCTAGCATGGTCTCGATCTACTGACCTCAGATTATCTGCCCGCCTTGGTCTCTCAAAATGCTGGGATTATAGGCATGAGCCACTGTGCTCGGCCATCAAAAGTCTTGTAATTAATCTTCAGTTGCAAAAGATTTGGTAAAATTAGGAAGCCTACATCACCTGGTACAGACTTCTAGGGAACATTTTAAGTATGGTTGGTTGTTTTTAATTTCCAAAAGTTCAGTTAAATCTCTGGTCAAAGTGAACCAGTAGCCAGTGCCACTATGGGTCAAGCTAAACGCGTTAGAAAACCTGACTTCTGCCAGGCGCGGTGGCTCACGCTCGTAATCCCAGCACTTTGGGAGGCCGAGGCAGGCAGATCACGAGGACAGGAGATTGAGACCGTACTGGATAACACGGTGAAACCCCATCTCTACTAAAATTACAAAAAATTAGCCAGGCATGGTGGCACGTGCCTGTAGTCCCAGCTACTTGGAGCTGAGCAGGAATCATGAACCAGGAGGTGGAGGTTGCAGTGAGCCAAGATTGTGCCCCTGCACTCCAGTCTGGGCAACAGAGCGAGACTTTGTCCCAAAAAAAGAAAGAAAAAAGAAAATCTGACTTCCCAGCTATAGGAAGAAAAGAACCTGAGAAAGCTTATACCAGCAGTGGGTTGAGAATCTTCAGTGATAAAGCTTAACATTCTATGCGTGAATATCCCCTTCCATAATCTACAAATAGTGTACAAATTATTTTTTTCTATTAGGAAGGCAATACATGATCATTAAAAAAACAGAACTATCGGCCGGGCGCAGTGGCTCACGCCTGTAATCCCAGCACTTTGGGAGGCCGAGGTGGGCGGATCACGAGGTCAGGAGATCGAGACCATCTGGCGAACATGGTGAAACCCCGTCTCTACTAAAAATACAAAAAAATTAGCCGGGCGTGGTGGCGGGCGCCTGTAGCCCCAGCTACTAGGGAGGCTGAGGCAGGACAATGGCGTGAACCCGGGAGGCGGAGCTTGCAGTGAGCCGAGATCGCGCCACTGCACTCCAGCCTGGGCGACAGAGCCAGACTCCGCCTCAAAACAAACAAACAAAAAAAAACACAACAGAACTATCGACTTTAAAAAATGAATCTCCCCCCCATCCAAATCACTTTTTCATGAGACTATCAACGCAAAGCTATTTTTTGTTTTTGTTTTGTTTCATTTTGTTTTTTTCTTGAGAGGGAGTCTCCCTCTGTCTCCCAGGCTGGAGTCCAGTGGTACAATCTTGGCTCACTGCAACCTCTGACTTCTGGGTCCAAGCGATTCTCCTGCCTCAGCCTCCTGAGTCACTGGGACTACAGGCATGCACCACCACGGCTGGCTCGATTTTTGTGTTTTTGTAGAAACAGGTTTTCACTATGTTGGCCAGGTTGGTCTTGAATTCCTGACCTTGAGTGATCTACCCGCCTTGACCTCCCAAAGTGCTGGATTACAGGTGTGAGCCACCACGCCCGGCTTTGGTCTTTTTTTTTTTTAATACATATAGAAGTAAATTTTCCAACCTATTCCCACATACAATCACTTTTACCAATTTCTCACGTGTGTGTATGCAAAAATGGGATAAAATAACTTATTTTTACAACTTTTGGTCTTATTATTCCTTTGACATATTTGCATACTAATACATAAAGATCTTTTAATGATTTTAAAGTTCTGTTGTTTTAATGAACCATTTCCTACCTATTGATAGATGTTCAAATTGTTTCCAGTTACACAAACAATTCTGTGGATAACAGCTTCATACATATCTTTGTGAATTTGTACACAATGCATCAAACCAAATTACAAAGTTAAGCTTCTAGTGCATAGAATGCTGGCATATATTAGAACCTAAATAAATATTTATGAATGAAGGAAGTGCTCCTTGACCTCTTGAACCAAATCTAAGATCTGGAAGATGTGAAATAATGATCTAAATCCCTGGAAAGAACTCTAGAAAAAACAATACATCCCTGTTAGCACATGAGGATTAGGGGACAGAACCAAAATATATTTTACAAGAATATAGTGCAACATGGGTGGGCACTAGTGATTTCTTCTTCACCACCAAGGACCTCATGCAGAAATATTTTGCTTGGCAAACAAGTAATGATTACATACATTTTTACTTTTTTTTTTTTTTTTTTAAGAAGACAGGGTCTCATGCTCACCAGACTGGAGTGCAGTGACACAAACAAATCTTACTGCAGCCTCGACTTCCTGGGTTCCAGTGATCCCCCTGCCTCAGCTTCCTGTGTCACTGGGACCACAGGT